TTAATTTCAGACTAGTCTTCCACAGAAATTTCAATTCCTTGGAACTCCACATGCTGTAATAACCTTCATGAATGACAATCTTTCTCGCATATGTATTCAAAAGGGTTAAGAACTTATGCAGAAGTAATCCAAGACTCGTTTGAATGTAAAAGCCATCTTACCTTCTCACTGAATCTCAACAGGTCGATTTACGTAAGAGATTTTGTCCCAGCTATTGATAGTGGGTGCATCTACTAAATCGTCAATATCTTCATTGATACTCCGTATGTACAACTGAACTGGAATTCTACCTGATTGAGACTTGAGAGCAACACATCTTAGAAAACAGATACATACAAATATGTCTAAAGCGTAAACTCATACAGTGAATAATGATATAAAACTCAACCATGACAAAGGCATCCATTAGTCATCTAGTTCATCATCATACTAAAAGCTGCTTCAAAGTTTTTTTCTGTTAAAAATACTTTTCTTTCTTAATATATAGCTATAAAATAAGTCAGCTTCATATATTGATTTAGAATTCAAATAATTTTTAAGTTAAATTAGTAAGAGTGTGCTTCTTACAAATAAAAAGATTCATCAACAATTATAATTCCCGATTTTGGATAACAATATTATCCTCTTTTTGATTCAAATATTATTCTCATCAATTATTTGTGTTCCTAGAGATTATAATTCTAGAAAATTTACCAAACATGAAATTTCCTGAAACCTCAGAAGAGATGCTTGATGGTGAAGTAAATATAAAACAACATTTTTGAGACATAAGAATTTACAACATGAATAATGACTAAGTTGTAAGTGCTACATGAATTTATATATGAGTAGGGTCAAAGCTTAACCCCTGTTGATGTCTTAAAAGAGAAGTCTAAAATCCTTTTCTTAGGACTAAGTGACTTTTGGGAAGATAAAAAAGTGTAACTCGAATTTTGTGCAATAGGAGTACCCCAATATTGTTAATGATTTATGATGCTTAGTGTTGGAATCTTAAAAGGATAAATATCCATAAGTTGAACACAGTTGAAATGAGTATAGTAACATGGATATATAGTTCTGCTAGGATGGTAAGATAAGCTATAAGAATCTACGCTAACAAGTGGAAACTACCCCGGATTTGACAAATTAAGGGAAGGACAAGTTAGATAGTTGGGTATGTCTTGAATAGACCTAAAGAGGCTCTCCTTCATAGGAGTACATTGATCGCAATAGAAGAGGTCAGAAAAGAGACTGGTACATCGATGCCTGTTATATTGCTAAAGTTCTAGTCATTTTGAATCTTCCACCAGATGAACTGGAGAGAGTGGAAAATAATTCATATAAAAAATAAAAAATAAAAATTCATCATAATTAGGCTTTTATAGCTTTTTTGTTGTCTTTAACATGACCAAGTTAACTCTTCAACCAGTTCTCATTTCGCTGCTTCTAATATGAGCCCCACATTAGCAATTTATGGTGTGATATAAAAAGAGCATTACGGGTACTCATTTTTCAGCTTTTAAAGCAACAAATAAAGGACAGAGAGATGCAAATTCTAAAATGCACCTGATAACTTCAAAATGTCTCACCTGTTCTAATGGGGGAAGTGGCATCTCCATCACTAGTGCTTTGCCGAGATTTCAAAGTCGAGTTCAATTTTAAGGAGTAGTAATCTCCAATGATGCAAAGCTTAAGCTTAGACGAAACACGAAGGTAAGCTTCCATGTTGCTTAATATATAACATGATTTAGTAGTTATAACAATGGCTGAATAATTCCAAAGAAAATGCAATAGATAAATGGATCAACAAACAATAAGGTTTATATATAACCCATCAGATTCTACCCAGATAAGATATAATAATTCCGAAAAGCTACATGTGCATGTAATCCTTAGTAGTAATCCCCTCAGAGCTATGTGCCTTATTAGTTGAAACAGCATAGAGATGACCCTCGGAGGTATTTCAAGAGCTTAAGCAACATGCCACTTGAGAAGTTCATGACCACGACAATAAATTAATCTCTTCTATTTGTCCTAGAAGGCAAGAAATTGTTGTGTTTTCATTTAAATTGAAAGTGATGCTAATTTCTGTAATGAAATGTCACTATAGATTATGTAGGAGTCATGAACTTTGAAACTTCCAGCAGAGGACTCAAATGGTTAGAAGAGAGAAGAGCAAGGATTTCAAAAATTGCTGCAAGAAGATTTTGACGATAGCTTGGTTGCATTTCTATCAGAAAGAAACTAAGCGCATTGATCCTAGAAAGCATGAGAAATAGATCAACAAGTCTAACAAGAGAATCTTAAACTACTAGGATTTCTCTTTGTTCTTAGAAAATGCAGTGCAACAATGAATTGCATGCTAAAAACTTCAGAAGATACGTGGTATTTTCAGAAAGATTTAAAGTTTTAAACATCAGCAAGGGTTTTGAGCTCCACTTCTCTTCTGAGAATTGAATACTCAGAGCACTAACACATTCTACCAAATAAAATAGATAGTCATCCAGACTCCACATGAACAGTTGTGGAAGGGCTTAAGTTTGATTAGCAGTGCACCACTTTTACAGTAAATCCACGTGCTGATTAACAGGATAACAAAACCAACAAAAATAAAAACATAAACCCTTATTGTCTGGACTCCCTTACTCCGTATCTTTTATCTTTGGAAGGCTATTATACAATCAACATTTACAAATCTATATATGAATGTAGTTCCACTGGAATATGTCAGATTTTGTTTTTGTTCAAGACTGTAAAGGTTTTCTTTTGTTGGCATTTAGTCTGATCACTTTTGCTTAATGTCTATGTCAAAAGTGCACATCCAGAAACTTTCTAGTTCTCATATCTTATAGCCTAAGCTGTAAGTTAAGTTGCTGATTATAGTCAAGAAGGTAGGATTATTATTTATTCAAAAATATTAGCCCAAGCATAAGGCGTGCTCGTTTTCTAATCCCACTGAGTAGACAACGGAATATTTCTCAAAATGCACATACTCAGAACTATAGTATATATGTTGACTAGTAATTAAATGAAATGAAGAAATGTAGAAAAGAATAAAATAAGAAAAAGCAAAGATAAGTCAGGAGGTACATAGAAACAAATCATTTAGCACGCAAGTAATTAAAGACAAGCTCTATACCATATAAGACCGAGTGCCAAAGATCTGTCTGATCAGATTGAGACATATTCATAATATTTTTGCAGTTCCCAGTGATTATATATGCAGCCTACAGAGAAGTTTAAGCAACTATAAAAGTTAGACTAGTACCAAACATGTTAACATCTTACCGTTAACATTCACTCAAAAACTAAAATAAGACAATGAGATGCTGAACAAAAGGAAAAGCAAAAAATAACAAAACAAGAACCCGCGACAGACGACCAAGGCCAAGGGATTGCAGCATAGGTCAATGGTATATTCCAGTTTTGAGTTTAT